GTGTATAATTCAACGCTTTTTAGTAATTTGCAGAGTTCTACAAGTATCACCAACAGTCCAGTTTGAGAATATTTGCGTCATCCCAAAACAGCATCCTGGTTCCCACTCACAGTCACTCCCTGTTCCCACCCCCAGACGCAGGCTGATCTGCTTTTTGTCTATAGATTTGCACATTCTGCATGTTTCATGTAAATGGAATGATGCTCTATTATGTAGTCTTGTGACTGGCTCCTTGCACTTAAGCGTAATGTTTTTGAGAGTCATCCACGTCATAGCAAGTATCAGCACTTCATTCTTCTTTATGGCTGAATCAGATTCCGTTGTATGTATTTATGTACCTTGTTGTGTTTACCCATTCACCAGCTGACGTACACCTGGGTTGTTTCCAGCTCCTGTGATTATGTTAACGCTGCCATGAGTGTGAGCACACGAGTCTCTGTGTGGACACCCTGGAGTGGAAGGCTTGGTTGGGCAGCCAAGTAGAACTATGTAAGGACCTGCCCTGCTCTTCCAGAGTGACTGCAGCATTTTACATCCCAGGGGCAGTGTGTGAGGGTTCCTGTTTCTCCACATCCTTGCCAACACTTGTTACCACATGTCTTTTTGATCATAGCTGTTGCAGGGGGTGTTGCTTTATCTTTTAAAGTGATGCTGGAGCCTGCTTGGGATCAGAGAAGGGCAGCAAAGGGATAAAGATGTGGATGACAGACCTCAAGAGAACAGGTTGTAGGGCTGGCCCCGTGGCTTAGCGGTTGAGTGCGTGCTCTCCGCTGCCGGCGGCCCGGGTTCGGATCCCGGGTGCGCACGGAGGCACCGCTCCTCCAGCCATGCTGAGGCCGCATCCCACATACAGCAACTAGAAGGATGTGCAGCTATGACAGACAACTATGTACTGGGGCTTTGGGGGAAAAATAAATAAATAAAATCTAAAAAAAAAAAAAGAGAACAGGTTGTAGTAATAAAAGGAGGACCGGGAGACCACATTTCTCTCCCAGGGAGGTCCTCTGGTTGTCTCTGAGAAGACCCACTTCAGGGAGTTGGTTACGATGTAAACAGGGGGAGCTCAGTCAGGAGCGCTGGGGAAGCCTTGCTGGACCGTCCTAGGTGGTGAGGGTGGGCACAGAGGAAGCCAGTCTACAAGGTGGCAAGTGAGGAGGGAATGGGCATTTCCTCCTTTGGACAGTTTAGTCCTTGCCCCCCGAGGCCGAGGGTGATGAGTGAGAGGACCCTGCAGTTGTCCATCGGTGGCCCACCTGGTCGTGCCTACTACACAGCAGGCAGAACAGCCCCTGGTCCTCACCAAAGCTGCTTTGGGGCAGCGCTCAGCCCTGCCCCACCTGGGCTTGGCCCCCACCACCTCCCTGGCATGGATGCATGATGCATGGGGTAGTTTTCTAGGCAGACCTCAGGGCGACCGTCCACCACGCCCACCACCCACAATTGTTCCTTTGAGGCCCCCACCTTGTCCAACCCCGGAGGAGACAAGCAAGGATGCAGACCATCCTCCTGAGAGCACTGGCCGTGGGCCGATACCCAAGCCTGCCCAGTCCACATCCCCAGCAGCAAGCGCGTTCCTCGCCTTGACGTTGAGACCCCGAGGGGGCCCTCATGGGCGTCTGGAGTGTTCTCGGGTTTTTCCCTGGACTGCCATTTCCTGGTCCTCTCCCCTCAGTCATCTGTTTTTCCAAACCCTGTCCCCCGCTTGTTTACTTCTCTGGTGCTTTAAATAGCCACATGAGAGTGTACCAGCCTTGAATGTTGTTTGGGGCTGGACTGAGTTGAGCCTCAGATCTCATGTGTCATTCTTCATGCTGTTTCCGCTCTGCTCTGCAGGCTCTGGCCTTTGGAGCTGAGCCAGCCTGGGGATGGCCTTTCCCACTGGGAAAAGTCCAGGGTCCCTATCCAGGGCCACCTGGTGGGCTGGGGGCCCAATGAGGAGCTACCTGCAGCGCCGTGGCCCAAGTCTGCTCTGGAGGCCAGCTTGTGCCACTGCCTCTGGGGCCAGGTGACTTGGGCCTGGGTATCAGTGCTGGGGGTAGACAATGGTGCCAAGCCTGCTCATCACAGGCCCGCTGTGCTCTCAGGGGTGTGGGCCATGGGATGCCCCACCCTCAGCCCAAGATACTGTGTGCTCGTGTGTGTGTGTGTGTGTGTGTGTGTGTGTGTGTGTGTGAGAGGATATCAGCCCTGTGCTAACATCTGCCAATCCTCTTTTTTTGCTGAGGAAGATTGGCCCTGGGCTAAAATCTGTGCCCATCTTCCTCCACTTTATATGGGACGCCACCACAGCATGGCTTGCCAAGCAGTGCGTCGGTGTGCGCCCGGGATCCGAACCGGCGAACCCCAGAGCGCGCGCACTTAACCGCTTGCGCCACCAGGCCGGCCCCAGCAGTGCGTGCTCTTATTGGGGTCACCGACTGGGGTGGTGCAAGCCCTGGAGGGTCCTCAGGGCACGTCCAGCCGTGAGGGCGACTGGCCAGGCAGACACGTGTTACTCAGCGTCTCCAAATGCCCCCACAGGAAACCAGCCACTTGAGAAGGAAGACTGGCTTTTCTGGGCTTTAGAGAAAACCGTGACGCATTGGAGTTCCCGTAAGCAATAGGCTGCTGGTGGGGGGCAGGGATGTTTTTTCCACGCAGAGACCAAAAAAGTAGAGCCCAGGGGTGCTCGGAAGCTTTGACCTTACTGAGCCAGGCTGCGGGGCGGGGCTTCCCGTGAAGCCGCTCAAAAGGCAGCCGAGGCCTGGAGCTCTCTGTGCTCCCGTCAGCTGCACTCCTGTCCGGCCACGCAGGCCTCTCGGAGCAGCAGGGCCGAGGATGCGAGAGACGCTGTCTGCCCCCGCCGCCATGCAGGGCCTCCTACGGTACTTCCACCCCCACTGGGCAGGCCGGAGCTGCGCGGCCTCTGCCGAAAAGTACCTGTGTGCTCGAGGCACTGCCCTGTGGACCTGCATCCGAAACCTCACATGCAAGGGCAAGGTGGGCCAGGGGTGTGGGTGGGCCGTGGCTTCCCAGGTGGGCTGTGTCGGGGCAGGGTCCCTGCCCCCCACCGATGTCGCAGATAGCTCCTCTCCCTGTCCCTCTGCCTGCTCAGACTCCAGGCTGCTTGTCCACTGTGATTGCTGGTTCTCAAGGGGAGAGGGGCCACTGATGACCATTCATTAGAGGGAAAGACAAGGGTCTCCTGCCACACCTGCTCCTGTTTCCATTTTTTAAAACTCCCAGAGGTGGTGGTCAGCTCTCCCTTTCCCGGGGAATGAGAGGAACGGCGCCTGCCCCCTTCCTTCTTGGCGGCCAGGACACGGGCGTTGGAGGTGATGGAGTCTGGTCAAGAGCCGACTCGATCTGCTGGTCCCAGAGTGTGGAAGGGTCCTGGCGTCATCCTGCTGCTGCCTCACCTGGTGAAGACCCACCTACCCCTGGGCCCTGCCCAAAGCCTGGGATTCACTCTGGTGGAGAAGCGCCGCTGGGAGGTTTCCTTTTCTGAGTGGTTTTTAACTGACCGGTCCCCGCTCACGGACCCTGCCTCTCGGGGTGGAGTCCCCGTGGCCTGGGAGTTGTGGCCTCTAAGGACCTTCTGGGACAGATGCAGAGGAAGAACCTGTGGCCACACAGCCCTGGAGGGAGACGCTCTGTGACCTTGTGTTTTTCTGTGTCAATCTGGCCGTACATTTCAGATCCTTGGGAGTGTTAGCCAGTAGGACCTAGAAGAGGAGGTGAGCAGGGCTCACCCCCAGGAGTGCGTGTGATGAGCCTCTGTGCTGAGCAGGTCCAGGGGGACAGGCCCAGAAGCACACACCGGTGAGGGAGAGGCAGCTGGGCCCTGTTTTCCAGTGCCTCAGCTCCAGAAGGCCCAGCTGCCACCCCTTGGGTCCCTTGCAGTGGATAAACGTACGATGCCTGTCCTGAGCGCCCCTCTAGATCTGGCACTGTGCTTAGTACCGTCGTGTGTGTGTGCATGTGTGCAGAAATCGTGAGGCTTAGTCCCTGCTCTTAAGCGGCCTGCCTAGTAGCAGAAAACCGTCGCTCAAAGCAAGTGATGAGGAGTGCCAGGTTACATGGTGTCGGACAGTGTTTCCTGACCTGGCTTCACCCCAGAATCTCCTGGGGAGGTTTCACTTATGCGAACCCCAGATCCCACCTGGAGCCACTAGTCCAGCTCTGCAGGTGGAGCCTGGGGAGGTATTTTTTTTAACAAGATCTCCCCAGGTGCTTTGCACCCAGCCCAGCCCGCTGGTGGGGAGTGTGCACTTCCCACAATGGGGGAGATGGAGCCCTTGTGGATGGGGGGCATGTGGCCTGCCCACTAAGGTCAGGATGTCTTAGAGCACACAGATTGTTAGGTGGTATTAAACAGCATGGTCCTACAGACCAGTGTTTGGACAGTGCTCTGTGGGGGTAGAAGTTAGAGGGGCTTCCTCCAGCTCCCCTCACTTGCTGCATGATTTGGGGCTGGGTTCTGGGTCCTTCTGGGCCTGACCTTAAGCCACAGGACTGGCCTGGGCTGGAGGCTCCTCCCGCCGTCCTGCACACTAAGGGAGAAAGCAGTGTCTCAAATACTTGGATGGCATGCCCCCAAGAAGTTGCTATTGAAAATGGGCTTCCAGAAATGTCACTTAAACTGACTGCTCAACCCCCACTGAGCTGCAGGTAGCGATGGTGGGGAGATGGCTCCCACTGCCGGGCTGCCAGCATGGACTTCAGTTCCCGTCTGGAAGGGGTGAAGGGAGGAGCTGGGTGCAGGGCCCTGAACTATTGCCAGTTCATACCTGGGGTGAGCCTGAGACCCAGGCAGCAAAGGTCTGAGAGCAGGAGGGCCAGCCATAAGGTTCCAGGGGTTTCCAGCAGGTTCTCTTCTGTCTCTGGACCCTTCTCTGTCTTGGCCTCTGGATAGAAGTGTCAGCCACAATCCAGCTCTGACTCAACTCAGGAGTGGAGAAGTAGCACGTCTGGGCTTCTGCCCAGCAGGGCATCTGATAATCGTGACTCCTTGCTTTCAGCTGGACCCCCAGGCCCTGCAAGACAGAGACTGGCAGCGGACCGTCATCGCCATGAACGGGGTATGTACCCACAGGGCTCTCTTGGCGCCCACTTCCGCCAGAAGGTTATGGTGGCCCCGGAGCCTTCCAAAACAATCAGAAAGAGGCTAAACCTGGGCTCGCATCTGAGGGAGAGCGTGGCTGGAGGAGGAAGAAGCCCTGCAGGTCAGAATTGAAGCACAGTAAGGAATCAGTTTGGTGTCTGTCACTTGCCAGGCGCTGAGCATCCCTCCTCGAACAGTGATCCAGTGGCATCACCGGGACAGACAGGGCCTCGACCCTGGGGTCTGCCTCTGGAAACTAAGACCCCTGATTAGCCTTCAGATTTAGATCTTAAAAAAAGACACTACCATGCAGCAAAAAAGGTCCTGGCATATGTGACAGAATATTAACTTTTGATAGATGATTTGTGGCTTTTCGTTATAATATTCTCTACTTTTTCTCTAGTTATTTTTTAATTATGATTAAGAAAGGAGCAGCAGCAATAGGGATTGTGGAGTGAGGTTCTGCGGAAGTCAGTCCTTAAATCACCATAACTGTTCCTGGCTCTTGCTGAGTTGGCCGGGGTGCTGCCCCGCACTTGGCCAGCTTGCCCAGGGTGTGGAAAGATTTGACAAGACCCCGGGGCCCGTGGGAACTTGGGCTGTGAGGACCAGAAGGGTGAGGGGACCATGCCCCTTCTTCCCCTGCAGATCGAGGTGAAACTCTCAGTCAAGTTCACCAGCAGGGAGTTCAGCTTGAAGAGAATGCCTTCCCGGAAACAGACAGGGGTCTTTGGAGTCAAGATCGCCGTGGTCACCAAGTGAGTGGCAGGGGCTTGGGCTTGCATCTGGTGTTTCTGGAGGAAAGAGTGGGTGTGAGTCTCCCCTCCCTGCACAGCACGGTCGCTGCACAGGATGCCTCCCAGGCCCGTGGGACACTGTGCGCTTAGCTGCCTCCTGTGTTTACTGCGAAACTTGTCCTGTCAGCTCAGGAATGTCCTTGCCCTCTTCCTATGCGGATAGGCTGGCCCCCACATGACTCCCAGAGCTGCGCAAGGGCGGGATTTTCTTCCCTTGACTGGAATTTGTCATGATTGAGGTTCCTGTTGAATGATGAGAACCCCTGTGCCTTTGTCACGGGTCAGTTGTCCAAGGCCTGTGTGTTGGTTTGAGGGCAGTTCTCAGAGACACAGGCTGCTTCCTCCCAGAATCTGTTTGCTTCCCTGGGATGGAATCTGGCTGGGCCCCTGACCTCACTGGCCGTCTGGGCCGGGGCCTGCATCAGGCGTTTCCCGGACACCTGATTGTGTCTAAACACTGATTCCCACCTCCAGCTGCACCCCTGCTGTCCCCACAGTGCCTCTGGCCGGCTCTGGGTGTGAGCAGGAAGGCCTCTGTCAGCAGCTACCCCAAATAAGTGCCACTAATGAGGGTGGCTCAGGAGAGAGCTTTGCTGGCTCCTGAATCTGCTTGCTAAACTAGACTAGTTGCTAAAGCTAAGCCTCCAGACAGCACCGTCTCCCATTTTTGAAATATTCTTACTCCGGGGTCCTACACAGAGGTGCTGCAATTGTCTGTTGTTAAGACTTAGAAAAGCGTTGAGGATCCCAGGATTCCGAGCGCTGGCATTGGGCAGCCCTGTGGCGCCGTTCATGCAGCAGGCTCCGGTTGAGTTGCTGCTGTGTGCAGGGCTCACCTCTCGCCAAGGCTGGAGGGGGTGGGATTCATCTCTGGAGCAGCAAGAGGGTGGCAGGCTGAGACTGGGTCCCATCTCCCGACTCAGAGACCAGACCGCTTTCCAGGACGCTGTGCCGCTGCCTCGTAACCCCAGGCCTGGGCCAGCTTTGCTCAGAAAAGCCTGCTGACCTTCCCCCAAAGACACCAGGCCCTGATGAGCTATAGGCAGTGATGGTCGTGAGCTTACAGAGCAGACGAGGCTGTGTGTGCAGCCGGAACCCAAGTGCCTTCACCACCCCATCTCCAGGTGTCTGGGTGTGTAGACAGCCACGCGAAGGCTGCTGGGCACTGAGGTGTTTCCCTCCCCCGCAGGAGGGAGAGGTCCAAGGTGCCCTACATCGTGCGCCAGTGTGTGGAGGAGATCGAGCGCCGGGGCATGGAGGAGGTGGGCATCTACCGCGTGTCCGGAGTGGCCACGGACATCCAGGCGCTGAAGGCAGCCTTTGACGTCAGTGAGTGTCATCTTGGGCCGTGGGGCCGGAGGTGTGGGCATGGTGCCAAGACCCTCAAGGCACCTCTGTGGCCCATGCTTGTTATCTCCTGCTCCGCACCTTTGCTTCACTTACTGTTCTGTTATTTTTTAAATGAGAGGAAAAGGGAGTTGTGGGAGGAGGTTCTGCAGAAGCCACTTCTTAGCCTGTCCTAACTGTGCATGCATGGATCTTGCTGAGTTGGACTGGCGGCACCCCCCGTGGAGCCGCCCCGCCTCTCACTGGGACTCGGCCTCCTTGCCCGGCGAGGGGGTAAGAGGTCTGGAAGCCGTGCAAAGGGCTCTGAGGTGACCGAGCTTCTGCCAGTGCTGCGGCGTCTCATCTTCCTCACCCTCGCACACTGAGAAGTTGGGGGAACTGCCTCAGTTGCCAGACGAGGAAACTGAGACCCCAGAGGGTCCTCAGAGTGGAAGGTGGCAGAGCCAGGACTTTCATGCTTGCCTATGCTGCCTTCCCTGGCCTGGAGCCCTGGAAGGCCGAGCTCCCCTGGGTGGGCCCTGTCATAGTTCTTGCTCCCTCTGGGCCACCAGAGTGGACCTGGCCTGTGGCTGGGAAGACCAGTGGCCACCTGAGCCCAAAGGGAAGACCGGTTTAAACGCTGAAACAGAGCAAATAATCCCAGTCTCGTCCTGTTATCAGGAGACACTGGCAGCCAGGTAGTGGCTAGAGGGCAGAGCCACCCAATTACGGCCCAGACACCACGCCTGTCCTCCTCCAGTAGCCTCGCAGTTTCCTCGTGGCAGCTGCCCCCTTGCCCAGCAGGGCAGGTGTGAGGAGGACAGTTGGATGAGCTGCTCAAGGGGGAGGAGCCCAAAAAGTGGTCAGTGCCAGCTGTGCTGAGCTGAGGCAGGGAGAGCGGACCCTGATTAGGGATCCACGAGTGCTCCATCTCTGCTCCATCCAGATAACAAGGACGTGTCTGTGATGATGAGCGAGATGGACGTCAACGCCATCGCCGGGACGCTGAAGCTCTACTTCCGCGAGCTACCTGAGCCCCTCTTCACTGACGAGTTCTACCCCAACTTTGCCGAGGGCATCGGTGAGCACAGGAGGCGTCTCCCACCTCCCCTCTTGTCTGCTGGTGCCCTTGGGGGGTTGTCAGTGGTGAAGTGGGGGAACCCAGGCTGTTCCCCCTCCCTCACAGTCTGCTTTGCAACCCAACTCTGCAAGTGGCGGGGGGACCGAGAACCAAGCGGGTCCTGGAAGGGCTCTGCCCGTCCTCCAAGGGCTGCCCGCTGTCCTCGTCTATCCAAGTAGCCCGAGGGTGAAACAGCCACAGTCCTCCTCACTGGAGCAGCTGCCCTTCTCCCCTAACCCCAGGTCCTGGCCTATCAAGCATGGCTTCATTGCCCGACCTGACCTTAAGTCAATCTGAAGGTGGATGTCCAATGTGGCACTGCTGGTGTATGGGGCAGCTGCAGCCCCTGTGCCTGTCTCCCAGGGCCATCCAGCAGGGGACCTGGTCCCCCCAGGGTGCACAGAGTGGTGAGGCAGCTGCCAAGGCCTTGCAGCCCTCTTGCCCCTCACTTCCTGCTTCCCCCTCTGCCCAGCTTCTCGTGCCTCAGGCTCTTCCAAGCAGGAGATAGGAATGGCCAAGTTGGCCAGGAGGGCAGCTGTGCCCGGCGCCTCCTGCCGCTGGTCCTTGTGGTTCCTTTGACCCCTTTGAGATGTAGACAAGGTTTTCATGATGGCCCACCGCCACACAGGTACCCATTACAAAGTCCTCACTGGGGGCCAGTGCTGTGTGGGCCAGGACAATGACGGGCCTGGACTGTCCTGTGCCCTCTGACATGGGCCCCGGGTGCTCCATCTGGCCACTCGAGAGAGGTCTCTAGCCCGTGGTTGTGATCACGAGAAGTTAAGAGCTGCTCCCCCTTCCTCTGCAGCTCTTTCAGACCCTGTTGCAAAGGAGAGCTGCATGCTTAACTTGCTGCTGTCACTCCCAGAGGCCAACCTGCTGACCTTCCTCTTCCTTCTAGACCACCTAAAAAGGTAAGCCCAGCTCTTCTACAGGGGCCCAGGGCTCTAGGACCCTCAGGCAGCAAGGGGTGATCCACCCACGCACCACTGGCTCCTGTCCGACTCCCCAGCACCTAGGGCCGTCTCTCTCCTCCCCTGTTGGCAGTTACTTACCCCCTCTGGATACTAAAGCCATTGCCACCTTCTCCCTCTTTGCCACCCTTCCCCTCTGCACCATGGCCCTAAGTAAAGAGCATGTTTTAGCCCCAGCCAGCTGTGTGCTCGGGCTTCCTCTCCCTGCAGGTCATGGCCCAGAGCTGGCCCAGCAACCTACTAGCCTCAAGTACCCTTCATCCTGGGCCCCTCCAGCCCAGAGGAACCAGGGTGGGGTCTGCTTTCAGCACAACCAGGGGTGGGGTGGCTGTGCTGTGGAGCCAGCCCAAGGCAAAAAGGGGTGGTGCCCTCCACTGCATTCCCTAGGACTCCAGGGTGGCCCGTCCCCTCTGCCTCGCCTCCGTCCTGAAGGCGGTGTCCCAACAGCAGCCTCTGCTTTGGCCCTTTGCAGGGTGGCAGAAAAGGAGACAGTGAACAAGATGTCCCTGCACAACCTTGCCACGGTCTTTGGCCCCACGCTACTCCGGCCCTCAGAGAAGGAGAGCAAGCTCCCTGCCAACCCCAGCCAACCTATCTCCATGACCGACAGCTGGTCCCTGGAGGTCATGTCCCAGGTACGAGGAGAGAGGCTCCAACCCACACCGCCCAGCCTCACGGAGGTGGCCTCTGCCTGCCCCACCTGGGTCCTGCCAGTCATTTTCACCCGAGTTGTACAAGGGAGGTGGCCAAGGTTCAGAGAGGACTTGCCCAGGGCCCCGTGACTGGGAGGGGCAGGGAGGGCTCTTCCCTCTGTACCTTACTGGGCTTCTCAGGGCCCATCCCACCTGGTGGTCCTTCAGGTGCATCCAGATCTCTTGCTGTGAGGGGCTTGTGTCACCAGCACTTGCAGCATGAGGGTGGCCTCAGTCACCAGGCCCTGGGCTCTGGCCAGGAAGATCTCCTGCCTGTGCCATGAGCACCTCTTTGAGCCCCTTTCTTCCTCCTGCTCTACCCCGGCAGGTCCAGGTGCTGCTGTATTTTCTGCAGCTGGAGGCCATCCCTGCCCCGGACAGCAAGCGACAGAGCATCCTCTTCTCCACCGAAGTCTAAAGGTCCAACTCCATCTCCAAGAGGCCGGCAGAACGGCCTGGAAACCTCCTGGCTAAACAGGCCATCCAAAGAGTGGGAACCGAACCTTCTTGAGGAATAATTGGGCCACCATCAAGGGCCAGGCCATCTGCCAAGAGACGACTACCCATGGCAAAAGGCCAAGTGGCCTAGGCAGTTCTAGGCCCCTCAGCCCGTGGGCCTGTGAGCTCCCAGCTGGCATCAGACTGGTTTTCCACGCTGCCACCAGAGGGCACCCCAAGCCAGCACGTCTCAGAGGACGGGCCTGGCCGGGGACCAGGCGAAGGGAGTGGTTGTTATGAACGTAACATCAGAGTTTAAAAGATTTCTAATGGATCACTCATCAAGATGCACCCTTTCCAGGGAGAAGGGAACACAGCCAGATTCCCTCACTGTTGTGTCTTGAATAAACACTGCTGCTGCTTCGTACTGTAGGGGCCATGGCCCCGTCCCTCTGTGGGTGGGGGCATTTCAATTTCCCTGACTTAGAAATTCGACTCCTGTTTGTAACAGGGTTTGAAAAGCTAAGTCGACACTGTGTAACATTTGACCCTTTTACCTCCTTTCTTCTCTTTTTTTCTAGAAGGATCTCTGTGCAGAAGTGAGTCTTCTTCCTGTTCTGTCCTGTTGCTTTGTTTTTGCTGTTCATGTGCTCCTCGGAAGACAGCTCCCCAGGGAGCTGTGTAACTTCCTGTCCCGGACACCAGGGGGAGGGAGGCCCAGGCTGCGTACTTTATGGCTTGTTCCCTGGGAGAGTGACCCTGTTCACCATCCCGACTGCCCACCGGGCAGATGCTCTCCTCTTCGGCTTACAGTGAAAGGCCTTGATCGCTCTGTCTTCCTCCGGCCTGTCTCCCTCTCTGCCCGCACTCTCTCTGCCCCCTTTCATCCCCCACACAGATCACTTCATTCCCTTGCTCTCTGCTGAACAGACTCAGTAAACTTTTGTAAAAGTTTCCTCTTGGCAGCAGCTTACTGACAGCTTGTTTTAAACTTTGATCCGAATAGCCTTTTGATACTTGAATATTTTTAAGTTTTATACGTAGTTTCTAATTTTTTTCTTAACAGATTCAGATGCCTAATAAGATATTAGAATGTACTCCAGGGACAGTCCGTGTCCCAGCGGCATTTTGTCTTCCTCTAAGCACCCGCTCTGCTTTCATCAGGACCCCTTTCTGAAGTCTCCTGAGCATTGGAAATGTCGGCAGTTAGGATCAGGGGCTGCTCCCTCCTCCAGGCCGAGGGTGGGGGCTCCCATCCCGGAGCAGGTGGAAGGACAGACCTGCCCTCCCTGCTCTCCCTGCTCTCCGTGCACCTGTGCAGAAGCCGGGCATTCTTGGTGACCCTCCTGACTGTCTGACTTAGAGGAAGGAGAACTGGGGAGGCCACTAAGTATTTTGAAGAAACAAATCTATGAACAGTTGCATCACTTTTTTTAAAAAGAAGAGTTGGGGCGAGGAGAAAAGAAAAGAAAAAGGAAACAGGCAAATTTTCCACGTTGGTCTTGCAGGAAGAGAGGATGTAGATGACAGAGGAGAGAAGTGATGGTGTGACTCAGGAAAGGGTGTTCGCTTGTCACAGGATTTCACCAGTAACGGGTGGCACAGTCCCATGATCCTTCCCGTGTCCCTGGGTGGGCGGGGAGGTGGGAGGGCTCACCTGGTGTGTCAATGGCAGTTCCTGCCCGAGCTTGCAGCACATGAAGGGCAGTGCTCCCCCTACTCTCCCTGCTTGTGGACCTGCCAAGGCAGGGGGCAGAAAGCGAAGTCACTTGAAAGTCTTACGTCTGCATACTGTATTTAGTTGTACTTTTTCCTTGCAAGGAGAGCAGACCCACCCTTTTAAAGCAATGCTGCTCTCCTGGGGGATGAGGGCAGGGAGCAGGGTCCTCTGCCCTCCATACATTTCTGGACTCAGTGGCTTTCTTGGGCCTCCAGCTCTGGGCCTCATTCGACCTGGCTTCCCATCCCTGTCCATCTTAGCAACCCTCCAGCCCTGCAGGGGGGACCATTTTGCTTAGAAAAGCTAAGCCCAGCCCTCATTTCTGTTTCCCCTGGTGTCTCAAGATTTGCATCTGCGGCATTGAAACTGGAAAGCAATATATCAATGTCTGTGCCAATTTTCATCCCCTCCCCCACCCCCTCCCCCTTTTTAGTTTTTATTTATATAGGATGTGTGCTGTTTCATGATGGAATGACCACTCTTCCTTGTGTAGCTGTAAAAGTGCCCTTTGCTGGGCCATGGTGGTGGCTGTCACTTGGATCCCAGCCACCTCTGTTGTCCTGTCTCACACGCAGGCCTGTGGGTTGGCAAAGCCAGCATGAGGCGAGTGAAGGCCTGGAGCCCCGATGTGACCTTCCATGCGGCTCGGCTGCTGGACTCGGCCACAAGAAGTGATGCTTTCCTGCCTCAGGCCTTGAGTCTGCAGCAGCGAGCTTGGCGCCCTCAGACGGTAGCCCGGCCTTCCGTTTGTGGGTGGCTGGTCTCAGCAGCTGCATCCCTGCTTTTGGGCTCAACCATCTATATGCCACCTGGGGGAAAGGACTGCTGACACTTTGATTAAAGTTACCTGAGACGACTTGGCATTAGTGGTGATTGTTGCAATAAAAAGAAAAACCATGCTCAGTGCCTCTGGGATGGGGGTTGGGATTGGGCAGCGGAGCTGGAAGCAGCAGCAGGTAGAGTGAAGGACGTGGGCAGCCCTCCGGGAGGGTAGTGTGCACATGCTATGGAAAAGCCAGGCCTGGTGGGGTCTACGTGCCCACAAGCAGGCACCGCCAGGCAGTGTTAGGACACATGGAGCAGCAGCAGCTTCTCTGCCAAGTGTGAGCTTGGGCTGTCTGGTTTGGGGCGGGGGGGGCACCAGCCAGGCACTCTTGTGCGGAGCCCGGGGGCAGGGAGGGCCCCAGCCACACACAGCCTGGCCCTGCACAAGCCCCTTGGTCTTAGTGGTTTCTGCTGGAACTGAGCTCTTGATGGTGCTGCCAGGTCCAGCCTTTCTGTTGCCTGCAGGCAAGGGTCACTCAGCTGCCACCGGCCTTGCCCTCAGAAAAAACCCATCCAGCTTATAGGGATGCTGTGCCCGGCTGGAGATTTGCATGCAACGTGGGCCCTGTGCTTAGTGCAGCTTGGGAGGAGCTGGGGCCACACCTGCTCAGCCCCACATTGCCATCAGCAGTGCATGTATCAGCCGTCACCCCGAGGCTTCCCTAACAGGCTGCAAGTGACTAGTGAGGTGGGCAGAGGGTGGTTTGCTCAGGGTCTTCCTGGGACCCCCCAGAAGGGTCTCCTCATCAGCTGCGTGGTCAGCTCTCTTGGGTGAGAGGCGTTGTGGTACCTGGTCACCTGGCTGGACTGTGGTTCTCTCCTGCTGGCCTCCAACACTGCTGCCTGTAGAGAGCATCACTGTGGCCATTTCACTGACTGGAGGGCATGGAGTGTCCTGGTGAGAGACGGGGCCAGATGGCAGCAGCCCTGAGCTCAGTACAGCCCTTCACTGGCCCCAGGAGACCTGGGGGAGGTCATACCAAGGGTGTGACAAGATGCCCTGGGGAACCCTCATACGTGGCTCATGGGAATGCAAACTGGTGCAGCCACTATGGAAAACAGGATGGAGATTTCTCAAAAAGTTAAAAATAGAAATGCCATACGATCCAGCTATCCCGCTACTGGGTATTTATCCAAAAAACATGAAATCAACAATACAAAGAGATTTATGCACCCGTATGTTCATTGCAACATTATTCACTATAGCAAAGAAGTGGGAGCAACCTAAGTGTCCCTGGACTGATAATTGGATAAAGAAGATGTGGTATATATATACAATGGAATACTACTTAGCCATAAAAAAAGACAAAATCATCGCATTTGCAACAACATGGATGGATCTTGAGGGTATTATGTTAAGTGAAATAAGCCAGACAGAGAAAGACAAACACCATATGATTTCACTTATATGTGGAAGATAAACACATGGATAAGGAGAACGTGGATAAACAGATAAGGAGAGTGGGTTACAAGAGGGGGAGTGGGTGGAGGGGAGGGCGAAAGGGTTTGTAAAGGGGCACATATGTAGGGTGACGGATAAAAATTAGACTTGGGAGTGAGCAAGATGCAGTCTATATGGAAACTGATATATAATAATGTACACCTGAAATTATGCAATGTTATAAACCAATATGACCTCAATAAAATAATTTTTTTAAAAAAGTTGCCCTGAGGATGCACCTCCACCCTCAGAGGCTCCAAAGGCCTAAGCACCCCCTTGCACAGTATCTCCATCCCACAAAGTATAAGGGTTGACGTTGGGTCTTGCCCACATTGGAAAAGCTGTGTGTACACCATGCCATCTGTTCACTCTGATAACTGCTGATGAGGAACGGGTTGCCACTGGCCCTTCTCTGAGTATTTGGCCCCTAAAAGGCTCTCTATCCCTACCTCTCTGGTCCTATTTGAAGTCTTTAAGAAAAAAATGTCCTATGGCATCTCTGTTAGGACCATTTGCTGCTGCCCTAAATCTGAAATTTTATACCTCGAAGAACCCTCAGAGACTTCTTAGACCAATCCCTTTACTTGATAGATGAGGAAACTGAAGCACACAAAGCCACCCCTACCCCAGCATCCCAGAGCCGGTCGATGAGCTGAGGCTGGGATCTCAGTGTCTTGACGGCCCCCCAAGCTGGCTCCCTTTCTGCTGTACTAGACACGGCCAGACCTCGCCCACTAGCCCTGGCCTCGACGTGACTGTGCTGGTGCGGGTACTGGGCCGAGGCCTCCTGGTGTCACACACGCACAAGCCCTGCACAAATAAAGGGAGGGCAGGATTTTGTATAGAAATCTCAGAAGAACTTGTCCATCTGCCCCCAAAAGAATGCCGCCATTGCCTTAAAAGAAAGTGTTTCCATGGACTAATGATGGGCTATCATAAAGAGTTCTGGAAAGATAAACAGAAAAAGGAAGGAGGCGACACACACCCAGCTCTTAAAGAGGCCCAGATGGCCTCTGAGAGCAGCCACCACGGATCAGCGGGCAGCATCGGGGCTGAGGGTCACCCCTGGATGGGAGGGGACTGTCAGATCCGGGGAAGAGGTGTTGGAGCTCAGTCGGTGTGACTGGAGTAGGGGAGAGTGACGGGTCACCCCAGTGTTCACAGTACAGAAAGGCCAGCTGGGGCCGTGACAAACAGGCACTCATGTAGATGGTTTCCTGGAAGACAGGGCCCTATTGTATCTCTCAGATTGGAAGGGAAACCAGCTGCTGCGGGGAGCCGAGGCTGCCCACCTGTAAGCTCCCGAACAAGATCCGCCAAGTGCCCTAGACCAGTCAGCCCTGCCGCACATCACGTGGCCATGTATCCCCAGAAAGGCCTTCTCAGGGCTTCTCTGGCCAGTTCAGCTGGAACAGTGAGGGCTCAGTCCACACACCAACTACTTTTCTGTCCCCCTCCTGTGGGTGGAACTGGGCAGAACTGACCAGAAAGTCTCCCTGAGGGTTTTCAGCCATTTTGTGGAAATTTGAGCCAGCAGCTGGGGATGTGTAAATTTACATGGGATTCTGGTCAAAGAGGGGGCCTGAATGGTGGGGCCTTAACAAGCTTAGGTCCCAAGTAACTGCCAGCTGAGCAGCCACCAGAAGATGAGGCAACAGGATGGTGGCCGCCCCAGACTCGGGGACACCCCAAGGGCTCTAGGGCTTGAGTGACCATGGACAGGCAGACCTCCTAAACCCATGGCTCAGCCCCAGAGGCCAGCATGAGAAATCCAGACCCATCCAGAGAGGCAGATGCTGCAGGTGCCCATTTAAAGACAGCTAC